AGATGAATTTTACAAGATCTTTCTTCCATTGTATAAGTGGTTTATCATAGACTCTCTAAAATGTTTAAAGGATGTGATCCTGTCTGTTGGAAATGTAGATTGGAAGTTGGGACATATTTACACATATGGTGGAAATGTGAAAAGGCCACAAGATTTTGGAAAATAATACACTGAAAAATGGGGAAAAAAAATACTAATTTGAAGGGTCACCCGGAGCCCAGGTTATGTCTCCTGAATATCTTGGATGATGATAGATTAGAAAGTCGGAAGGGAAAATAATCTTCTTGGCAATAATTGCTGCCAGAATATTATATGCTAAGTACTGGAAACGGAATGAGATTCCAATGGTGGAAGAATGGAAACTAAAACTTTATGATCTTTATGAAATGGATAAACTATCATGTCTCTTAAAAAAACAAGAATCTATCAGGTGCTCATAAAGAGTGGAAGACATGGATTACATATGTACAATCAGAGGGTAATGAAAATAAATATATAACATTATTGGATTAGCAATATGTTTTATAGCTGTTAATTAAAGGCCTTTGCAGACTGCCAGAAATAGTGCACATTAAATTGAGGCACTGCCTTGGCTCAGTGCTAGGGAATCATGGGAACTGTAATTTATTGTGTCACCAGAGCTCTCTGACAGAGAAGATTCAATGTCTCAGAAAAAAATAAAATTCCCATGATTCCCTAGCACTGAGCCAGGGCAGTGCCTCAATTTAATGTGCACTATTTCTGGCAGTCTGCAAAGGCCCTATGTCAGGAAAAGAGGTACATTATATGGTTATATTGATAATAGTTTAATGTATCATTGATGTTTCTTCAATTAGGGTGTTTAGTTTTTATTTGAGATGAACGCTGTAAGAGATCAGTTTGGGATGTTATAAGATTCAAATAGCTGATGATGTCTTTCCTTTCATATTTCCAGATTTATGATGGTGTAAGAAGTCCAGAGTCACTGTGATGGAGTGTAGATGAGTAGGTTAGGATATGTAAGATTCTTTAGATTGTTACTTAAAGCAGGGGTAGGCAACCTTTCCCCTTTAAGGGCCGAGGGACTTCATCTCCCAGAATCTCAGGAGCTATTGGCCAACATGGGAGAGGCTTCTGGAAGCTGAAGTCCCTCGGCCCTTAAAGGGGAAAGGTTGCCTACCCCTGACTTAAAGAGTATAGACACAAGAAAGTGCAAGAGTTATCTTTTATGTATAATGTACATATTGACCTTCACATGCACAGTTCAGGAAGCCTAATAGGATTGTTATAAGCCGTTTTTCTTTTTTTGTTGTTTTTCTTTTTTCTTTTTGTTGTTTGTTAGATCTTTGTTTATTTTTTTGTCTGTGTTAATGTTACTATTATTAATAAAAAATATTAAAATTGGTATGGAGTTCCATCACTTGGAGCCCATGGACACATTTGTAGAAGTTTGTAACTATCACCAAAAACCTGCTTCTAACTAATATATATGAGAGGCATTTTCCCAAATTGGCAGTTGTTGCTGCTGTTGTTGTTGTTGTTGTTTTCCCAAAACTGGGACTCAGAGCAGCTTACAAGATTAAAACAGTACAATTAAAAACATAGAAAAGTGGTATGTTAAACAGAATTAAATTATTACAATATTAAAACAGATTACATATAAAAGCATAAAATACAGGTTTAAAGATAAAAATGCTTAAAATGCATTTAAAAGAATACAGCACCCAGCTTGTTTTTTAAAAACCTTCTGTTTCAAATGCCTGTCTGAACAGGTAGGTCTTAGCCTGCTGGCAGTAGGACAACATAGAGGGGGCCATTCTAGCCAGCCTAGGAAGGGAGTTCCAGGGTCTAAGGGCAGCCATGGAAAAGGCCCTCTCTCATGTCCTACAAACCATGTCTGTGATAATGATGGGACAGCAAACAGCCGCTCCTGAGGTTCTCAGAGCTTGGGCCGGTTCATATAGGAAGATATGGTCTGCCTAAGCCATATAGGACTTTGTAAGTCATAAACCTAACTATGAATTGTGCTTGGAAACAAACTGGTAGCCAGTGGAGCTATTCCAGTAGGGATTTTGTGTGATCTCTATAACTTGCCCCCATTAACAGCCTGCCTGAAGCTCTTTGGACTGGCTTAAGTTTCCAAACACTCTCAAAGGCAGCCCCGAGTAGAGCATGTTACAGTAGTCCAAGTGGGATATAATTAAGGCATGTACCACCGTGGCCATATCTGACATCTCAAGGAACAGGTGCAGCTGGTGCACAAGCTATTACCTTCAGGTTTAGCATAATTTTTATAGCTCATCTCTACTGAAGTTCTCACCTTTTTGTGCATGCCCCCCACCCCATCAAAACACTGAATTAATAAAACATTTAGTAAAAGCCATCTAATGCCGAGAGAGTGTAACTTGCCCAAGGTCACACAGTGGATTTCCATGGCTGAACTGTGATTCCAACTCTGTTCGCCCAGAGTCCTAATACAATACTCTAACCACTGACTCTTTACATTATAGCTGCTATATCAGAGTAAAAACACTAAGAAGAGTACAAAAAAGTAACTTTTCCCAGTTCTGACTGCAAGACACAGTTAAAGACAATGAGTAGGTGTGAGTGACATAGTGTTTTCCATTTATACAATCCCATTTTCAATGAGAGCTCTGGTAAAGTTACTGTTTTGCATGACATTTCCTTCACAAGGTAGTTGGATACGCCCACTGGGAGATTCTGGTAGTCAAAAAGTAACTTTTCCAGGTTATGGTTTGAATCTATTACATACCTTAACAACATCAGTTAAAGAATGCTGAGGAATAATGATAGGAAAGACCTCATCTTGAAAACTAGGAATGGGGAGAAATTCATTCTGCTCTCTTTTAAATGTAAATTTACCTAATTCTCAGTTCCCCAAACAATACATATAATAATGCTGAATAGTAGTAATACTTTGATATTCACACTTTTTCAAGTTTGTGACATAGTTCTCCAATCAAAAATGTGTACAAAACTGCATATATTAGGGGAAAGTGCTCAAAATACCATAAATATACTGGGGAAATAGCATTCAGAAGCACATTATTTAAGGAAAATTGCTTGGGGAAATGATCATATTAGACAAAATGACATACAAAATGCATACATGAGGGGGAAAGGCTCACAAAAATGCAAATGAATGTCCATGTTGTATCTCAAAAATAATCTCAAAAATATTTGGAAAATGGAGAGAGTGAACTTAAGCTCAGAAAAATAAGAAACAGACACTACTAGCCTTCATCAACCTAGAACATGGTGTGCAAGGTTGATGTGAGTTGAACTCAGACACATCATGAGAGTGTCAGGTTAGGAGTAGCAATGCTTCAAACCACTGTAAGGCAGATCAATGTAGGGTGCATGCAAGAGATTGATTGTGTCACTGGGTGAGATAGCGTCAAAGTTGCAGAGGGTAAACCTCAATTGTGGCTATGTATTGATTGTGCAATGCAGCTCTTGGGGGAAATGACAATGATATATAACTGTATGCACAACCAATTGTGCAAATCAATGCACAAGTGCAATGGCACCACATGTGCAACTCCACATCTGCCACCTTAAACTGAATTTGGATGTTCTGCATCCAGTCAATTCTGTAGGGAAACTTATATATGTGTCAGATACACATGTACTAGTGTGGTGTAGTAGTTTGAGCTTTTGACTCTGAAAATCAAGGTTCAAATCCCCACTCACTCATAGAAGGCTACTGGGTGATCTTGGGAAATCACGCTCTCTCAGCCTCAGAGGAAAACAAAGGCAACCAAATCTTGCCATGAAAACCCTGTGATAGACTTGCCTTTTGTTGGTGGTGTTGGTGTTGTGTACCTTCAATTCATTTCCTTATGGAAATCCTAAAGTAAACCTATAATTCAGTTTTCTCAGCAATAATTGTTCAGAGAAGGTATGCCATTGCCTTCACCTGAGTTTGAGAGCATGAGTTTGAGCCCAAGGTCACTCAGTCGATTTTATGACTGAACAGGGAATTGAACCCTGATCTCCAGAGTCATAGTCCAACACTCAAACCACTAGACCACACTGGCTCTTCTAGATTCACCTTTGGGTCACTATAAGTCAAAAACAACTTGAAGGCATACAACAACATATGACAACAGATAACAACAGGATTGCAGCCATTATGTAAATGAAAGAGAGAAAGAGAGACAATCCTCTGCCTTCACTGGAGGGCAAAGTTTAGCAATAGTGGGGGCAGATGTAGACAGGCTGCCTGGTGCAGGAATAGCTCCATTCTGGTGATTGATTAGTAGCATCCACTGCAGAACATTGACCAATGCCTGGTAGGAACTGCTAGGCACTCCCTGTGTATGGGGTATGTACATGCATCTACAGGGAGCCCCCACCTTGTCCTTGTACCTCAAACACTGGCAAGTATTTCCCACAATTAAGAGTATCACTTACTCATTCTCACTCACTCTCTTTGGAGATTATCACATGGAGGCTTACCGTCAGTAAAACATCCCTAAATTGTCCAGAAAGCATAAGGATGTGATAGCCGGTTGCGCTTGTCCCTGTTATTAAATCATCATGGAGGTGTCCCCTCGCCTCTCCCATCATTAAAGTGTTAACAGAGCCACCATTTCTCAATGTGATGGGAGAGGCAAAGGGATGCTTCCATGACAAGTTAATAACGGGACAAGTGTAACCAGCTATTACAACCTCGTCTTTTCTGGATGATTTAGGGATGTTTTACTGATGGTAAGCCTCTGTGTGATAATCTCCTTTCTCTCTCACTCTCTCTCTGCATGTGTGCATGCACATGCACACAGACAAACACACACACACAAGCATTCGTTATTAATACGTAGCACCTTGTAACTTTGAAGATATTTATTGTGGTATCTATGATGATGGAGGAAGGGTGTCTAATAGTTCAAGATAGAATTCACCTTGAGTATTCCTAATATCTATATTCATCTTATAAGTTGCAAATCAAATGTTAACAGTTGCCATTTTCTAACTTTGCTATAAACTAAAACTGAAACAAGCAATTTTCTGAGATCAGCAAAAGTCTCTTTTCTCTCTGGCTTTATATCTGCTTTGCTTTATCTTCAAATTTAGACAGCTCTATATATGTTTTAATGCCTCATTTAGTAACCTAGAAAACAAAGATGAGCTTCCTATTAATGTCTTGTTCCAGACTTGGTGAAAAGTAGTGATGCAACACAACTCTCCTAACATGGGAAAGGGGGAAGCAATGCACCATATCTTTCAGATATATTTTACTGCATCCTGAATGATATGTGTATTTTTTATGTTTATGAATATACCATCTAACAAAAAGCAAACAAAAAAACCTAGCTGCCTAATACTTTGACATGAAGGTCATTTGAAAGTTTTACTGCCTGCAAAGCATATCCATTTTGTTGACAAAAAGCTCTCACAGGGCTTTTTATGCTGCCCCAGTCTACTTACCTTTCTCTCTGTCTAGCATTTCTCTTCCCCCAACTCTCCAACCCCTCCCTCCAGACTAATTATCAACTCATTAAAGCTGTCCTAATGAATTATGTTACAGCATTAAGGAAGGACTCTGAGAAAGACGCACATTTAAGTATAGGTGAGGAAGGGGACAGAGAGTTCTCTCTTGTCAAGGCAGGCAGCTTCTGCTAACTTGATCTGACCAAGCTGAACTCTCCAGCGCCATCCCTCCTCCCTTCAAAAAATCATAAATATTTCAGCCAAAATGAATTTTAGATTGATATAAGCATGCTCTTGGGAGGAATTGGCTTCCTAATGTTCCTTGGCTCCACAGAAACTGAAATGCTCCAGAAGGTTAAGGCTTGTGAATGTCTGAGTATCCCCTCTTTGAACTGTATTCTCTGAGTGTGCTTCCACATAGATATATATTCAGGTGGAGTCAAAGGGTGCCCGCTAGGAATTTGTACAATTATCCAGCACGGACAGAGATCAAGGAACAATGATTCAGACTCAAACTGGCTGTAAGGCATTTAAAACTCTTGTGATTTACATTTTGACAAAAATTGAGAGATATCAGCAGTTAATATCTGTAGCTATATAGTTCATTTCCTCAAAGAAATGAATGGGAATTGTAACACGCCTGCTAAACTATTTTTGTTTGTGTCACTGGGACTGTACAGACTGGGCCCTAAATCTACATAGCATGTAAGAAAATTTCAAATAACAGAGAAGGTACAAATAATAGGGAGCAAGGCAATTGGGAAACAAATTTAGGCACACTCACTAATATCAATTAGCTCTCCTTTATTTCTCTTAACACTGGAAGAATCTACATTCTAGAAATGATGCAGTTTGACACTGCTTTAAATGCTGTTGCTCCATCCTATGGAATCCTGGGATTTGTGGTTTTACAGGATCTCTAGCCTTCACTGTTAAAGTATGTTGTTGCCTCACAAAACTACAAAATCCCAGAATTCTGAAAGATGAAGCCATGGCAATGAAAGTGGTGTCAGATTGCATTTTGCTGCTAGCAGGTTTATTTGTTTTTGTTATTTATGTACTTGGAAACTTTTTTTTAATGCAAATACTTATGAAATAGAAGATATATTTTCCTCCCTAATTCATATTATGGTGTTTGTGTATTAATTCATGTTTATTTATTTTATTTTTATTAAAAAATAGTGGTTACACTTTTATCAGGTTTCCATCCATAGCTTCACAAATTAGAACTGCAATATAAAACCATAGTGCATTTCAAGCACTATGCTCCCTTTCATGCTACACAGTCAGAGCAATAAGATTATAATTTAAGTACTATGACAGCATCCTATGAGATTCTTGGGTTTATGAGGTGAATTCTAGATAGCTTACAAATCCCAGAATTTCATAGGATGTAGCCATGGTAAGCTGAAATGGAATCATACAGCAATAATAATGTAGTGTGAAATGGCCCTTTATCTGTGGAGAAATTAATGCACATTATTGTGAGGATCTTTGTAGTAGCAAACTCTATCTCTCCCCCTACCATTTTGTGTACTTTTTTCAATACAAAAAGAAACTTATGTGTTGTCTTAGGGGTAGAAGGCCATGAAATGGAAGAGACTGTGATAGGAGTTTGGGGGGTATCAGTTTGTAGGCATGTCTGGAGCCAGATTCTGAGGCATCTTGACCTAAATAAATGATGAGTTTGGATGAGTAGAGTCCTGACTGTGATGGGTAACACCCTACTTGGAAATAGTATGGGCAGAGATGGGAAGAGATACTTTTTGGACTACAGTTCCCAGAAACCCATAGCCAACATGGTCAGTAGACAACAGCCATGCTGGCTGGGGGATCCTGGGAACTGCAGTCAAAAAAGGATTCCCCTCCCCTAAAAGCTCTGTGGCACAGTTAAAAGCCTTATGTGTGTAATTATAGAAAAGAAAATAAACCTTGGGTGAAAGACAATGAAGTCTTCCATTAGAGGAAGAAATGTTGTTTGAGCAATAATATTTATTCCAGCACCCCCACCCTACCCTGGAAACTTTAGCTACCTTAATTTTCTGGGTTTGCTCTTGTGAATAACTCTGTTAAGCTCATGACAACTACTTTCAAACATTTATAGAACTTGGAACTTCAGCAGCAAATGTATAAAAGAATAGTAATTGGACTATTTTCATAAATGTCACCATCATGGGCATAGCGGGTCATACAGTGTATATTAGAAATCAGCAGCTAGAGCCCCAAAAGCCTAAATCAGTTTTCTCAAATCTGTCAGTGGGTCTCACACTGGCAGATCTCAAGCAAGACAGAAGAGCAATGTAGAAAGAGAGGACTTCTCAACCTTTCATCACAGTGTGGCCTTCTTCTCAGGCGAATCATCCATGTTCTAGATTTGAGATTACAGACAGAGGCCCAAATAAGAGACTCATCCATTTAAAAAATTTCTTCACAGTTCTTTAATACAGTGGGATCTTGGTATCCGCTGAGGTTTGGTCAGGATACCCCCCCCCCGATGCCTAAATCTGTGGATTCTTGAGTCCTATTAAATACAATAGCATAGTGAGATGGTGTCCCATATATAAAATGACAAAATCAAGCTTTGTTTTTGGAATGTATATTATTTTTAATATTTTCAAGCCACAGACAGTTGAATCCATGAATTAAAAAAATGTGGATGCAGAGGGGCAATTGAAATAAAGTTAGGATGTCAGGGAGAAGGCCATGGACTCTGAGAGCTGGCATTTGACCTAAAGTAAGATCTTTGATCAGGTCCTCCTCTATACCTTCAGCAACAGACATTATAGCCACTCCCTGGTTTGTTGAAATACTAAACTTTGCTTTGCAGTGCTGTTGTTATTGTGTGCCTTAAAGACATCTCTGACTTATAGAAACTCCAAGGCAAACCTATCATAGGCTTTTCTCTGCAAGATCTGTTCAGATGAGGTTTTCCATTGCCTTCCTCAGAGGCTGAGAGAGTGTGACTTACCCAAGGCCATTTGGGGTGGGGGTCCATGGCTGAGCAGGGATTTAAACTGTGGTATGGATGTGAGAGCTGGACAGTCAAGAAAGAAGATAGGAGGTGAATCAATGCATTTGAGATGTGGTGCTGAAGAAGAATGCTGAGGATTCC